TTTTTTTTTTTTTTTTTTTTTTGGTTCTCCTCCGATCCTTTTGTTTTTGAAGTCTGGTTTACCATTTCACTTTGTCTGGGAAGCCTTACACAGAACAAGATACTCTACAGATAAAGCAGAAAGACAAATGGAAAAAGGAGGTAGGGCACTTTTGTAGAAAGGAAATAGAAGAAAACGGGGGAAAATACAACATTTTGATAATTAATCCCCACCACCACGCAGTACTGCCTTTATGGGAATTAGTTTTGGTTTTCTTTTTCTTTTTTTAATTTTATTTTTTGAGAGACAGCCTGTGCACTAGTGGGGGGGGGTGCGGAGGGGCAGAGAGGAAGAGAGTATCTCAAGCAGGTTCCACACTCAGTGTGGAGCCCGACGTAGGACTTAACCCACAACTCTGAGATCATGACCTGAGCCAAAATCAAGAGTTGGACACTTTAAATGACTGTACCACCTAGGCGCCCCTTGGTTTTGTTTTCTAATGCAGTCTTCAGTCTTTTTTTTTTTCCTAGAATAATGCATCATAATCACAAGAACCATCAATAGAAACAGACATATTTCCAAAATGCTAAAGAAACATCACATGGACAGGGTCAAAGGAACAATGCTGTGCCTGCAAAACAGTGCCATGCAACAGAAATTTCTGTGTGATGAAATGCTCTATTAGCTATGCCATCCAATGTGGTAGCCATTTGTATGAGAACCAGCCACACTGGCTATTAAACACTTTTTAATTTTTAATTGTTAAAAAATGTAAATTGCTTAAATAGCTATAGGTAGCTATTCTGGACACCCATAATCATGAACACTCATCACATTCTCTCACCTCCAGCTACAGAGCATATTACTCTCTTTGACCTAGATTTTTTTCTTCCTTGGTGTTCAGTCTCTAAGAAGAATTCAGGCCCAAGGGTTAGAGGCCCCAGAATTATCTTCCTGGGTAACCCAGGGGAGAGTATTTTTAGGGCAGAGTTCTATGGGGCCAAGCATAAAGACAGCAACTTTTCTTTATTGAGTTACTCTATAACCTCAACCCTTTCCTTGGAAACCGTAAGTGCTTGGTGAACCAGTTAGGGTTCACTGAGTTCGGGGGGGACAAGAAAACCTAGGAGGATCATGGGAGGCCTTGGGGTGGAAAGGTCAGGCTGTATCTAGATCAGAGCCTCCCTTCTCTCCTGGGTTAAGTAGTGCGGCATGCAAAGACCAAGGCTTTATTTAGCCACCCTCGGAGGAACGCTCTGGTTCAGTGACCAAAACTGACTAAAAAGTCAGCTCCTGCCTGGTGGCAGAGGTCAGCTGCCATCTAACAGGGCAAAGGTCATTATCAAACTTAGCAGAGGTGGGTGGGAATTCATGTGCTGGTGACAGCTGGGAGAAGGTCCTGAACAGAGAGCTTGCTGGGGAAAAGAAGAGGCCAAGATGTTCAGGGGGCAGTCCGGGAGTAGAGGGGCTCCTGAACACCTCTTCTCCCAGGCCCATGCCTTCAGGAGAGTGGGAGCCACGATTCAGGGCTGAGCCCAGGTGAATGGGAATGGACCAGAAGGCTTTGATAGCTCCTCAGCAACCAGGTTAAGTGGCCGTGACTCCTTAATCTGAGTAAAGGGAATTGCTGAGCTCGTGCTATTTATCTCAGTGTTCTTCTGAAGAAAAGACCGATCAGAAGGGCTTGTCAAAGACAGATTACTGGGCTCCAGCCTACACTTCCCGAACCAGAATTTCCTACAGAGGCCTAGTTATCTGTATATTTGAAAAGTGCCCTCAGATTATTTTTTATCATGAGGTGTATGTGAGAAACACAACATGTTATCTGCTGATGCCTTGGGATCTTATGTGAATGAAGGGAGATGGGCAACAAGGTGGGCCGGAAGAGACTGCTGACAACAGAAACCTCTATCCACACCTGGAGTATTTTCCAAATAGCTCTTATGTCCTAGGCACAGTGCTGGGTGTGGAATATAGCACAGAACAAAACACAAGACTCCTTGCCCTCCTGGAGTCTATGTTCTCTGGTCCTGTACGAAAATGGTTTAGATGTGATGGTGCCTGGAAGCAGAAGGTTGGGAGAAGAGCCCTCTGGCTGAGTCCTCCATGCTACTATTACACCATTCCGAGGGGTAGTCCAACATCTCGACTTTTGAAGGCCCTAACACCAAAAAGACCATAGCCTCCACTCCTCCATCTCCACCTTTCTGCAGTAGGTAATCTCAAATGAAGCCATGAATTAGCAATCATAACATAAATGTAAAGAAGTTCTGTAAAATTCTCTTTCCTCACTATTAAACATTAAATATAAAGTTATTTGAAAAAAGCATTTTTTGGCACCACTGCTTTGCTGATGCCAGAAACATTCTTACTGTTCCTACTGTGCAAGCCAACGCTGAGTTTCTGGGCTGCAGAACTCCGCCTGCGGCTCAGGCCTGTGGATTTACAGATGCAAAGACTAACACAGGCAGCCAAGCCACGGTTGCTGGGAAGAACCAGCTCTCTCAGTGACAGCCTTCAAGGGCTAGGAAGCCACACCTCTCCCCATCTAGTCTTTTTCTTTATCTGCTGAGAAGCTACAATGAATTTCTGCCATGCATTAGTAGGTGAACATTTCACTCATCAGTTGCCACAATTGTGTTTATCTCTTAGACGAGGAAGGGAAGGAAGACTCTTTAATCCCTTTGCTTTTAGTTTTGTCCTTTGCTTACAGAGCATTAACTAGTATTATGTGTCCACTGGAGGCAGACATACAGGCACTAATGGAGCTCTTCCAGGGAAAACTCCCATTTTCCCTCTTAAAAAAATTTTCTTTCTTTCTCTGAGTAACAGTTCAATGAAAGTTGAATACACTCATTCATAAGCTCACTGCACCACTGCCACTTATTGCAAGGCTCTCCCACATCGTCAGGTTCACCCTGCCCCCTTTTCTTTCCTGTTTAACAATTACACCACGGCTCAGCCTTGAAAGGTAGTGGCCTTAGTACACGCAGACATGTTTGTTCTCATAAAAATGATACAGAGAGCAGCAAGAAGGTTTCTCCTCTGCTTATTAGGACACACCCAGCCTCCTGCCCCATGCTAGACAGAATTCTAGAATAGCCCCCAAGATTCCTGTCCTCTCCTGTATGTACCCTGTGTAGTCCCCCACCACCTTAAGTGTAGGTGAAACTTGTGAATTCTGTTACATTATATAGCAGTGGGGAGTTTAAGATCCCTACTTAGTTGACTTTTCAGTTCATCAAAAGGGAGATAATTTTCTTGAGCGAATCTGGCCTAATCAGCTAAGCATTAAAAAAAAAAAAAAAAAAGACCAGAAGCAGCAGAGACATTCTCCTGTTGCCCTTGAAGAAACAGACTGCCACCTGGAGAGAAGGCTATGTGGCAGGTATAGGCGGACAGCCTCTAGGAGCTCAGCCCCAATCCAAACTTGGATTGCAGCCCAGTGAGACCCTGGGCAGAGGATCCAGTGAACCTATGTCCAGACCTCAGAGCCACAAGAGAGTTGTGATACACTGTTACACAATCATAGAAAACTAATGCACCCTCCTACTATTTTATCTACTTCCCGAGAGCCAGTTGCCTGCCTTGCCTGGTTCATGTTCTCTCCTCCCTTTGTTACTGCTCAACAGAGAGGTAAATAATGGCATGGATTACAATGGGAAATAGGGCTATATGTCTCATTTTTATTTTCCACAGCAGAAAAAAGGTTTTGTGGATGTAGGATTTCTCCTGTCCAACTATAGGCTCTCGTAGAGAGCTCCGGCTACATGCCAAGCTG